AACTTGTGAAACCATAGTTATACTTTGAGGTTGCATGGAATTCGTAACCTTGTGCATCATTAGTTATACTTGAGGTGTGGCTGTAATGCCTATAATTGAAACCCGGACCATTGGATTATTAGTGTGGGGGCACATCAGACCCGTTTTCGCTAGAGCCGAAAAAACATAATTATTGAACAGAATCATTGTATTTGTTAATTGTATAAATGAAAGATAAGAGGAAAAAAAAAGGGTGGGTGGGTGGCAGAAAATGTATCGCAGCAGTGGGCTACTAATAATACGTTTGAGAAGACTCAATAAAAGTAAAGGAGCCCTTTTCAAGCCTGCAATTGTATTGAGCATATAGTGCATGACCTAGCATTCTGTAGACCAGTCAGCACTGGGTGGGTGAGGTGAGAGGCCCAAATGCCTGATAAAAGGGGTGAAAACGTTTTTATATGCCATTGACCGCATCAGTTCTATGAGGCTGAAGTTGTATTTTTATAGACCATTTGGTATTCAATGGGCTATGTGGTTAGCGTCAAGCCAGCCTTCTTGAATTACCGGGTCATTTTCTGATACCAGTGTTTGGCTGGATCTCTATGCAGATTCAAACTCAAGACCTTCAGGTCGGGAGGCAAGTTTCTAGCCACAGGATGAGAGATTAGTCATTGAGTATTTGCTTGAAATGAATGGGAATAGACCAGTAGGCACACTAAGAAGATGTCGGAGAGATAGTATACAGGCCCACTCCAGCTGGTAGGAGAAGACCTGTAGCATAGATATATTGAGGCGGGTGATATCTGCAGCATTGAACCTTGAGGGCTTGTAATGCTGAAGAAGAAGACGAAGAAGAAGAAAAAGAAGAAGAAGAAGACAAATATATACTTAAAGGCAGCAGACAGTTCTGATAAGTTTGCATTGGTTGTTTGAGGCCCTCTTAGCACCTGAGATGTTACTGTCTTACATTGCAGTGGTAAAATTGATGTCTTTTTGTCTTTTGTACTGCTGTAGAGATGTGTGCTAGTCACCTCACAGATCACCTCCTAGTCTGTATTTTGTAGTTTGCACTCATTATGTCTATCTTATGTGTTTTTTTAGATGTTTTTTTTTAATGTGAAAGCTGTAATTATTTTGCAATTTAAAAAAAAAACCACTTGAAAGATGAAAACCGTGAAGAAGGAAGAGCCAGATATAAAAGGGAAATTCATAATCTGTTTAAATCAATACTAATTACTGGCATCAGGAGGGCTAATAGACTGCAGTCGTTGGAGTTTATAGAGTGAATGGCAGTCAGCAGAGAAACACAGAGACGGAAAGTTCATTCAGAAAATAGCTGACAGGGAATTGACCATGAAGCAGATCAGCAAGATCATGGAGAGATGACATTAAGGCAGACCTACATACACATGATGCGGCGTCCGTGGCAAAAGCGTTGCGAGTCCGACTCGTAAGCCAGCATACCGTGATCGAAACCAACTGCAGGCTGCGTGGATTTTTGTTGTGGTATGGGACGTCGCAGGTCGACCCAGCCTAAAATGGGTACCAGGATGGGCTGTCCTGGGAAAATAAAGACAGCCGGCGTAATGCTGACCACATTACCCACAGAGTGCTGATGGTCTGTAAAAATATGGGACGCTCTGCCTATATGCCTGATGCGCCGAAAGGCGTGAAAAGGGAACTTTACTTTACTTTTACATACACATGAAGTTACCACTTGGAAAGAGAAGACCAACCCCACAGATAAATTTAGGCCTCTGATGTCTGCAGCAATAAACTTGTAGGGCTCAGATGGCAGAAGAAGAACTGGTTGTTTTTGAAGAAAACTTGTAGCACATCATGTCTGTCTTGTATTTCAGCTAGAGTTTAAACAGAAAATAATGCAAAAATCGACTGTAGAGTCCCGCCCAGGGACATATACAAAACTGAACTTAATAGCTTATAAAGAGAAATTTACAGAGCTCTGGACTGTGTGCTTCTTTCTTTGCTGTATTTAAAAGCTCAGTATTTAAAAAATTCATGGTTTGCAGAGTCACCCTGTTATGATTATGTTGTATGTGGTGTTAGAACCCTTTGTGGTGCACTGCTTTGTAATGACCTTACGTGACCAACCCATTTAATTGACTCATTTTAAATATAGCCTGACACTGGTAGCGCAGTAGTTAGCTCTGCTAGACCAGTGCTTATGCATTCAAATCCTCATTGTAATGGGGCGATTTGAGTTAACAATGTCTTGGGTTGCTGGTTGACCCAACCGAAATGTTGTACGGGGAAACTAGGGGATGTTGACCACATCATCCATTGGCTGCCAGTTCTTATAGTCTTGTGCCGTATGGCGTTGGTAGTCAGGTAGTGTCCACAGCCTTCTGTCTCATCTACTTTGAATCACCTCTGACACAGATGATCCTCCATGCTGTGATGCCACACTGCCCAGCATCTTTTCTCTCCTTCTGTCTCTCTTCTCCTCCAACTTCTCTTGTGTCGTGTACTATCCACAGCCTTCTGTCTCATCTACTTTGAATCACCTCTGACACAGATGATCCTCCATTCCGAGCTGCCAGACTGGCCAGCATCTTCTCTCTCGATCTTCCGTCTCTCTTCTCCCTCCTCCAAATTCTCTATTGTCATGTTTACCCATTTTCCCCGTCTCATGTTAGTTGGGTATGCTTTACTGGATGTTGCAGCATTGTGTGTGTGTGTGTGGTTTTTGTGGTTTTTCTAGGCAAATGTCACGTTCATTAGTTTGCCATTGCTCCCTGAATGGTCAGCTCTCAGTACCACTAATGAAACCAGCCGGGCAATTTTTTTGAATGAAAATAGTGTTTAAAAAAATATAATTTTAACTTAACAACCAGTTCAACTTAAGACCTTTAGTCCGTCCTGAGTCAGGAAGCTTCAGTTGTAATGTTAATTCCAAGTGTGGATTCCATGCCCTGATTAGAGGAGGTGGGGGGATAGACCCACTGCCTACCCTAACGGGCATGTCATACAAGGTGACTCATTAGGGGTGTTTCCTTCAGAGTGCATCAACCTAAGAGCTGAGAAGCCAACAGGCCGCATACACATAAGCCAGAAATGTCTATGTCAAGTATAACCCTTGTGGCAATTGAAAATAGAATAATATACAAATTTTGATGTAGTGATTAACACTCATAGATAATAGAAGTAGCAAAGAGAAGTAGAGACAGGACACTCTAGACAACATACAAATCAAAACTAAAGTCACCGCAGTACTGCTAGATGTTTGTTATATTTCAGGTTTGTTAGTGTTCATCAGTGTTTCATATATCACCTTTTTCTTACAGTAATCAACATACTTATATATCAGTATGATCTGTGCACAGTAATTGAATGTCTGCATTGGTTTTTAAAGTAGTTGTATTTATTTTTTATTTCACGGAGATGGATTATTTTAAAATAAAAAAAAAAAAAAAAAGATGTCTACCTAACACTGATTTTTCCACATATGCTTTTAATTATTCTTAGGGATTAATTAAATAATGTATACTTTGAATAAATTGACAGATAATAAGAATATTGCATCGAAACATCATTTAATGTAAAGATAGTTTGATGATAATAATAACGTAAGGATAATTAAAGAAAACACTTGCTTTATTCTTATCTTTAAACATTATTTAACTTGAAAAGACTCTTTGAAAAATAACATAAGATTTAATGATGACATTAACCCTTTCAGTCCCAGGGGGTTTGACACCCAAGGGGTGGTAAATAGAGACATAAAAAGGGGCACTTCTTGCATTCGTTAGAGTTTTAGGTAGAAACTTATTATCGTAGCATGCATTCCTTGGGACTGAAAAAGGGTACTTAAATATATATTTTTTTAATGTTCTGTAAAATGTTATTGTTTTTAACAGCAATTTACAAAGCTTCTTTCTCTCAACATTATTTGTTAGTTTGTCACCAAAATAAAGAAGTCATATTCCTTTACAACAATAATTTTCTTTACAAAATTGTAAATTTGATGATTTCTGATTATCTGCAACTATTATTTTTGTCTCTCAGCCTGTTTGTTTTCACATGGATAACAGTTTTGCAGTATATTAGTTTTGTACGCTCTTGCAAATTCTCTTTCTCACCTCATTTGACAAACATCTGTTGAATAGAATAATTATCCTGTCTTCTTCATTGATTTATTGTTTCCTGGACTTTGGCCTTGATCCAGAATTTGAGTTTTGCATGCACATCTGCTTTACAGATCTGGCTTGTTGTTTATGTGGACTGTTGGTTCCTTGCCTCTCAGGCAGATGCACTACAGCTTTGAATGAAGCATCTCTAATTAGTTGTCTCCTATGACATTCTTGTTATGGAGGCAGTGGGTTTGTTCTTTGCTGCACAGAATTGAGCCCCAGAAGCCACACTGGTTATCTTTATCCGCTGAACTGTGACCTTGTTTGTTGTTGGATATTTTATATTTAACATTTAAAACACATTGTCTGTTTGCTATTCACGCCTTTAGTCGTATCGGGCATATGGGAAGAGCGCCCATATTTTTACAGACCATCAGCACTCGGTGGGTAATGTTGTCAGCATTACACCGGCTGTCTTTACTTTCCCAGGACAGCCCATCCTGGTACCCATTTTAGGCTGGGTTGACCTGCGACGCCCCGTACAATGATCAAAATCCACGCAGCCAGCAGTAGGTTTCGATCGCGTTACGCTGGATTACGAGTCGGACTCGCAACGCCTAAGCCATGGACGCTGCCTTGTTTGCTATTACTATGGAGATACTCAGATATTTCAGCACATTGATTTCATTCAGGCCAGTCCCATTCACATTTATGCTACACCCGGGACATTTTCTCTTTGTCATTACCATTACCATCTGTTGAAATGTTAATGTGGACCAAGAAGAAATATTGATATCCTAAGAGATTTTAACTCCCTGTGTGGGTTGGGTAGCCCCGTTGTGGATTGCTTTCATTATGCAACTAACTGATAATCTTAGCATATCTTGCATGGATCTTATTTTTCATGTATGTTGCCGTCTTCACTTGTAGGTCCCAGGATAAACGGCCACAGTCACCTCCGACATGACCGCCATCGACATCCAGCGGGAATGTACGACGCCTCCACAGTACTTAGTAGTGACCTGGAGTCTACCAGTTTCATGGATTCTGAAGAAGACACAGCAAGCAGGTAGATTCAGCTTGTGTTCTACTGATCATTTCTGAAACATGCTCTGCCATACCATGTTTCTAAATGGTCCCAACTTCCTATACTGCTGATCATTTCTGAAACAGAGGCTCCCTTCCTACCCTGTTTCTAAATGGTCCCAACTTCCTATACTGCTGATCATTTCTGAAACAGAGGCTTTTTCCTACCCTGTTTCTAAACAGTCCCAACTTCCTATACTGCTGATCATTTCTGAAACAGATGCTCTTCCCAACCCTGTTTCTAAACAGTCCCAACTTCCTATACTGCTGATCATTTCTGGAACAGATGCTCTTTCCTACCCTGTTTCTAAACAGTCCCAACTTCCTATACTGCTGATCATTTCTGGAACATATGCTCTTTCCTACCCTGTTTCTAAACAGTCCCAACTTCCTATACTGCTGATCATTTCTGGAACAGATGCTCTTTCCTACCCTGTTTCTAAACAGTCCCAACTTCCTATACTGCTGATCATTTCTGAAACAGATGCTCTTTCCTACCCTGTTTCTAAACAGTCCCAACTTCCTATACTGCTGATCATTTCTGAAACAGATGCTCTTTCCTACCCTGTTTCTAAACAGTCCCATTCAAGTTGATCAAGCTGGTTATCAGCAGATCTGGCAGGGTCACAGAGCTTATGATCATCTACCGTTAGTGTTTCTGTTTATCCCTTTTGTGTTGAATTATGTGGCATCAGTTCTTCGGTTTCTAGCATTTTTAATTTATTGTAATTGCAGTGTGAAAGTTACTTTACAGACCATTTGACACTTGTGTAGCAGTATATGTTTTCATGTAAATTGTGTATTGATATATATATATATATATATATATATATATGAAAGTTGTGGTTGTGTGTCAACTTCTGGACTTCAGTCTTGTTCCAGAACCTGAATGTTGCATGCATATCTGTTTTACACATGTGGCTTTTTTTAATGCATATTGTTGGTTCCATGCCTCTCAGGCAGCTGTACTTTGACTTCGAAAGAAGCCCCCAATTAGTTAACTCTTACAACATGCATGTTGGGGAGATTCTGGGTCTGTTTTCCCTTCAGACGGGCCCTGGAACCCACATTGCAAACTTTTGTTTTGATATTCCGTTTGTATTTTCATGTTTGTATTTTCGTGTAAATTAAAATCCTAACCCGCACAGTCCATGACACCGCTAGCCAAGCAGTCCTAGCTCCTCAGGCTCGAAACCCTATCCTACACAACCCGGAAAAGTGGTAAATCATTATCATCATCCAGTGCCTTGCCGGCTGCCATGGACAATCCTGCCTCTCCACAATCTGCGATCTTCAGTAGCATGTATCAGCTTGTGTGCTGACACCCCTCCGTGATATAACAAAAGACTGTCAAGAATATTGCTACTTTGTCTTCCTTTCTCTCTTTTTCCACAGATCTTTCCAGTGGTCGCAGTGTTTTCTAGTTTCCTTTATCTCGTAACATAACAAAAAAATGGTGACTGTCATTTTTTGATATTTTAAGTTTGTCTTTGAACCTGTGCTTTTTTTAAATCATCCAGCAGTAAAGACAGTTATTTTCATGAAAAGATATAAATTTCTCATAATCTTGCTCACTCACTGCATTTTCTTGTTGTATGGCCAGGTTTTCAACAGTTACAGATACAACAAGTATGTCTTCCAAATATGGTCGTCATCGTAAACGCAGGCGGCGCCATCGTCCTCCTCCCATTAGTCGGGTGAGTATAAACAAGATATCACCATCATTAACTGCCTTGTCAGGTTATTAGGGTGATTATTTGTTTTCCTCCACAAACTCTAACATCACCACCACCTCTTGTCTTCATCATCACCACTTCATCATCATCACCTTCACTGTCATTTTCACCATTATCATCATACTGTCATCATCAGCATCTCTGTCATCATCACAGCTATCATTATCATCATAACCATTGTCATCATCATCACCACTCTCATCATACTATCATCATCATCATCATCATCATCACTGTCATCATCATCATTACCACTACAGTAATCACTCTCATCATAACCACCACGACCATCATCGTCACCACCACCCCTACTTCTTCAGCATTCCGAGCCCTTGAGATTCATTGTTGCAGATGTCACCCACCTCCATCATCTTAGTAATTGGCCTTCTGTTTGCAGTTGAAGACGCCAGATATTTGCAGTCTTCTTGGATGTCCCTCGAATCTCTTCTTGGTCTGCTTCCATTCGACTCTTGTGTGTTCAGTTTTGTTGTTGTCACTTGGAGTACACCCGAAACATTATTGTTTATTTGTTTGTTTGTTTCAGGCTTCATCTTTTAGTAGCATTACAGATTCCACTATGTCCTTGAATATCATCACAGTCACCTTAAACATGGGTGAGTATGTCTTTTACTGCTTTAACATGGCTTGATGTGCCAGCTGTTAATCTTTCTTTTATCTTTCTTCTGTTTGTATGTGTCTTACACTCTCCCTTGTATGTGTCTTCTACTTTCCCTTGTATGTGTTTTCCACTCTCCCTTTTATATGTTTTCACCTTCTCTTGTATTTGTCTTCCACTCTTCCTTATATGTGTCTCCTGTTCTCCCTTAAGTGTGTTTCTACCTCTCTCTTCATGCCTACCCCAGCCATTCACCTTCTGCTTCCCAGCGCCTTCTTCCTTCTAGTTTTTCTTTATATCACTGTCTCCATCCCTCTCTGAATGTGTTTTCACCCTCCTTTCCCACCCTCTTCTGCTTCCTCCCAGTTGTTCTTTATGTCAGTCTCCATCCCTCTCTCTGCACTGTCTTAATGATGATGGTGAGTGTGACAGCATTTACATGGTTGTGTCTTTGTGATCTTATCAGTTTTCACTAATTTCTGCTCTACCTTTACCAGTCCATTCATTTAATCTTGTAAGTTGTTTCTGTGTGCCTGTTTTGTCTTTACCTATCTACGTGTGTGTGCGTGCGAGCAAGCATGCATGCGTGTGTGAATATTATTATTATATATTTTCACAGACTGATAAACAAGAGAGCATAAGGTATACGTCACTAATGCCAGTAATGGCAGGTGGTATTTTAAAGAAACGGTTAAGAATGCTGGGCTCTTATGTGGGGGACAAAGGTTTGAACCCTTAGAAGGCTTTTTTTTCCCGTTTTTTTTTTCTATTGGGGGTATGGAAAAAATCTAAACTGAACAGTCCGTTGTGACCGCACTGTCCCTGCAGTCCTAATTCCTCTGGCTGAAATTACACCCCAACCCTGCTACACTGCTGCAGAAGTCATACATACAGATTCCTCTGGCCGAAATTACACCTTCATCCTGCTACACTGCTGCAGAAGTCATACATACAGATTCCTCTGGCTGAAATTACACCTTCATCCTGCTACACTGCTGCAGAAGTCATACATACAGATTCCTCTGGCTGAAATTACACCCTCACCCTGCTACACTGCTGGAGAAGTCATACATACAGATTCCTCTGGCTGAAATTACACCTTCATCCTGCTACACTGCTGCAGAAGTCATACATACAGATTCCTCTGGCTGAAATTACACCCCAACCCTGCTACACTGCTGCAGAAGTCATACATACAGATTCCTCTGGCTGAAATTACACCCTCACCCTGCTAAACTGCTGCAGAAGTCATACATACAGATTCCTCTGGCTGAAATTACACCCTCACCCTGCTACACTGCTGCAGAAGTCATACATACAGATTCCTCTGGCTGAAATTACACCCTCACCCTGCTACACTGCTGCAGAAGTCATACATACAGATTCCTCTGGCTGAAATTACACCTTCATCCTGCTACACTGCTGCAGAAGTCATACATACAGATTCCTCTGGCTGAAATTACACCTTCATCCTGCTACACTGCTGCAGAAGTCATACATACAGATTCCTCTGGCTGAAATTACACCTTCATCCTGCTACACTGCTGCAGAAGTCATACATACAGATTCCTCTGGCTGAAATTACACCCTCACCCTGCTACACTGCTGCAGAAGTCATACATACAGATTCCTCTGGCTGAAATTACACCTTCATCCTGCTACACTGCTGCAGAAGTCATACATACAGATTCCTCTGGCTGAAATTACACCCCCACCCTGCTACACTGCTGCAGAAGTCATACATACAGATTCCTCTGGCTGAAATTACACCCTCACCCTGCTACACTGCTGCAGAAGTCATACATACAGATTCCTCTGGCTGAAATTACACCCTCACCCTGCTACACTGCTGCAGAAGTCATACATACAGATTCCTCTGGCTGAAATTACACCTTCATCCTGCTACACTGCTGCAGAAGTCATACATACAGATTCCTCTGGCTGAAATTACACCCTCATCCTGCTACACTGCTGCAGAAGTCATTCATACAGATTCCTCTGGCTGAAATTACACCCTCATCCTGCTACACTGCTGCAGAAGTCATTCATACAGATTCCTCTGGCTGAAATTACACCCCAACCCTGCTACACTGCTGCAGAAGTCATACATACAGATTCCTCTGGCTGAAATTACACCCTCATCCTGCTACACACTGCTGCAGAAGTCATACATACAGATTCCTCTGGCTGAAATTACACCCTCATCCTGCTACAACTGCTGCAGAAGTCATTCATACAGATTCCTCTGGCTGAAATTACACCCCAACCCTGCTACACTGCTGCAAAAGTCATTCATACAGATTCCTCTGGCTGAAATTACACCCCAACCCTGCTACACTGCTGCAGAAGTCATACATACAGATTCCTCTGGCTGAAATTACACCCTCATCCTGCTACACTGCTGCAGAAGTCATACATACAGATTCCTCTGGCTGAAATTACACCTTCATCCTGCTACACTGCTGTAGAAGTCATACATACAGATTCCTCTGGCTGAAATTACACCCCAACCCTGCTACACTGCTGCAGAAGTCATACATACAGATTCCTCTGGCTGAAATTACACCCCAACCCTGCTACACTGCTGCAGAAGTCATACATACAGATTCCTCTGGCTGAAATTACACCTTCATCCTGCTACACTGCTGCAGAAGTCATACATACAGATTCCTCTGGCTGAAATTACACCCCAACCCTGCTACACTGCTGCAGAAGTCATACATACAGATTCCTCTGGCTGAAATTACACCCTCATCCTGCTACACTGCTGCAGAAGTCATACATACAGATTCCTCTGGCTGAAATTACACCCTCACCCTGCTACACTGCTGCAGAAGTCATACATACAGATTCCTCTGGCTGAAATTACACACCTTCATCCTGCTACACTGCTGCAGAAGTCATACATACAGATTCCTCTGGCTGAAATTACACCCTCACCCTGCTACACTGCTGCAGAAGTCATACATACAGATTCCTCTGGCTGAAATTACACCTTCATCCTGCTACACTGCTGCAGAAGTCATACATACAGATTCCTCTGGCTGAAATTACACCCTCACCCTGCTACACTGCTGCAGAAGTCATACATACAGATTCCTCTGGCTGAAATTACACCTTCATCCTGCTACACTGCTGCAGAAGTCATACATACAGATTCCTCTGGCTGAAATTACACCTCACCCTGCTACACTGCTGCAGAAGTCATACATACAGATTCCTCTGGCTGAAATTACACCCTCACCCTGCTACACTGCTGCAGAAGTCATACATACAGATTCCTCTGGCTGAAATTACACCCTCACCCTGCTACACTGCTGCAGAAGTCATACATACAGATTCCTCTGGCTGAAATTACACCTTCATCCTGCTACACTGCTGCAGAAGTCATACATACAGATTCCTCTGGCTGAAATTACACCCTCATCCTGCTACACTGCTGCAGAAGTCATTCATACAGATTCCTCTGGCTGAAATTACACCCTCATCCTGCTACACTGCTGCAGAAGTCATTCATACAGATTCCTCTGGCTGAAATTACACCCCAACCCTGCTACACTGCTGCAGAAGTCATACATACAGATTCCTCTGGCTGAAATTACACCCTCATCCTGCTACACTGCTGCAGAAGTCATACATACAGATTCCTCTGGCTGAAATTACACCCTCATCCTGCTACACTGCTGCAGAAGTCATTCATACAGATTCCTCTGGCTGAAATTACACCCCAACCCTGCTACACTGCTGCAAAAGTCATTCATACAGATTCCTCTGGCTGAAATTACACCCCAACCCTGCTACACTGCTGCAGAAGTCATACATACAGATTCCTCTGGCTGAAATTACACCTTCATCCTGCTACACTGCTGCAGAAGTCATACATACAGATTCCTCTGGCTGAAATTACACCTTCATCCTGCTACACTGCTGCAGAAGTCATACATACAGATTCCTCTGGCTGAAATTACACCTTCATCCTGCTACACTGCTGCAGAAGTCATACATACAGATTCCTCTGGCTGAAATTACACCTTCATCCTGCTACACTGCTGCAGAAGTCATACATACAGATTCCTCTGGCTGAAATTACACCTTCATCCTGCTACACTGCTGCAGAAGTCATACATACAGATTCCTCTGGCTGAAATTACACCTTCATCCTGCTACACTGCTGCAGAAGTCATACATACAGATTCTTCTGGCTGAAATTACACCTTCATCCTGCTACACTGCTGCAGAAGTCATTCATACAGATTCCTCTGGCTGAAATTACACCTTCATCCTGCTACACTGCTGCAGAAGTCATACATACAGATTCCTCTGGCTGAAATTACACCTTCATCCTGCTACACTGCTGCAGAAGTCATACATACAGATTCCTCTGGCTGAAATTACACCTTCATCCTGCTACACTGCTGCAGAAGTCATACATACAGATTCCTCTGGCTGAAATTACACCTTCATCCTGCTACACTGCTGCAGAAGTCATACATACAGATTCCTCTGGCTGAAATTACACCTTCATCCTGCTACACTGCTGCAGAAGTCATACATACAGATTCCTCTGGCTGAAATTACACCTTCATCCTGCTACACTGCTGCAGAAGTCATACATACAGACAGAAGGGGCAGTTTTTCAGTTTTTGTAGCTTTATTATTTGTTTATTTTAAAAACAGGAAACGCCTCATGGCAGGGGTTTTTCAAATAAGGTCTACAGTCTCATCACATGTCAGTTTAGCTTAGTGTGTCACAATGTTCTATTCTGTGTAATTATGACACATTCAGACAGTTATATATTAGTGTCACATCTGACCTTCTGTGTGGTTTGGCATTATGACATGTAAAACAAAGGAACAGTGTGACAGCACGGTTGTGAGTAAAAGTAGTAAGTAAAGGATCCTTTTAATGCCATTTTCACATCGGGCATATGATGCCACACTGGTATGTTCTGTAGACTAGTTGGCACTCTAGGGGTGATGGGCTTAGCATCATGCCAGCCTCTTTTACTTCCCAGGTCATTGCATTACCTGGTACTTATTTTAGGCTGGCCCTTGCAGCCAGGTTCAGTTTAGAAAACAGACTCAGTGCAGATTTGATCCCACGACCTTTAGGCGAGCATCTAACCACTATGCTACTGAGGCTGCTGACAGCACAGTTGTGAGAGTACACTAATGTCGGCAGCTCTTTCTTTGCCTTACTTTGCCTAGGCCTCTTCTTCTTCTACTACTTCTTCTTCACGTTCACTGACTGTCAACTCTTGTGAAAAGTTCTGGGTGTTCGTCCACCTCTGGACATTGCTCTTGTTACAGAACCTGAGCATTACATGTACAGCCATTTTACAGATTGACTTATTTGTATGCAGACTGTTGGTTCCTTACTTTTCAGGCAGATGCACTCGTACTTTAAAGGAAGAGTTGACTATTACAGCAAGCTTATTGGGGAGGCAGTGGGTCTTGTTTTCGCCACAGTGGGTCTTGTGGAACCCACATAGGAAAGGGACAAAACTCTCTGTGGCAGTTGTGGCCAACCTCTTTAGATTCGAGGGCTGCTTTTAATGTCAGTAATCACTGGCTTGAGGATATCTCTGCAGTAAAGTGATCAAGTTGTTTGCAGATGAGCTGTTTTTACCCACGCATAACAAGGACTTTGTAGACAAAGAGATAAGACTAATAAAGAGGACCTAAAAAAAAAATAATGCAGATGACATGACACAGATCACCAGGGGCGTCCCCTTGCGATTTCCCAGTTGCATATTTCGTAAGCCAATGTTCTTCAAACAGAGGGCACTGGCTCACTGTTGGGCCACAGGGAAAGTCCAGGTGGGTTACCAAAAAGTTGTGCCTAATCATGTAAGGGGGTAAGGTAGATACTTTTTCACTTTAAGTACTAAACCATAAGATTATAATCTTGTTCAGACATATAGGAAACATAAAAGAGAAATCTCATTATAGGCATGTATCTCGTATAGAACAAAACATATTATTTTATTTCCTCGTTTCACAGGGAACTTTTCATTCCAGTCTTAAACCATTCAGAAAATTGTGAAATAGTAATCTTGTTTCAGACCTGTAGGGAACATAAAATAGTCATCTCATTTTATACCTGTTGGAAATGACATTAATTATCTCATTTTAAATCCATTAAGAGCAAGAGATAGTAATTTTATTTTAGTGCCATGTTTCACACAGAGCATAAAGCAGTCTTAATGTAGTCTCAAGTTTCACAGGAAACGTGTGAAAGTAATTTTTATTTCAGTTGCATGTTTTATAGAGAATATATGAAAGTCATCCCTATGTATAAATGTTCAAAGTAAATGTTCAATTTCTCTACCAGCAGGAGGGAAAGGGGGGGGGGGGGGGGGGGGGGATTTGGCAAACTTTTCTAATCAGATCATGACAGACACTATCAATAAGCTACTGAGGAAGGGGACAAAGCACACATGGGAATGTCTCGAGTGCAGTGATGTTAATTCGTGATTCATTCATTTGTAAAGTGAATGTTGAATCAGTTCACTTGTGTAGGTTGTATCAGCTGACTTATGTATGTGTGTATGTCGTTTCTTCTCTTGCAGATACAGTCAACTTCTTAGGGATCAGTATTGTTGGCCAGAGCAACAAGGGAGGCGATGGAGGTATATATGTCGGCTCCATTATGAAAGGGTGAGTTGTTTCTGACTGGGGTGTATCTCATGAGTTAATTTATAGCAAAGAACTGGGGAGTGTGCTTGTGTGCTGTTGCTGGGTCTTGAAGCCGGGGTCAGTTTGGAAGAAATTCAGACTCAGTGCAGATTTAAACCCACAGACTTCAGGCCGGCAGGCGAGCGTCTAACTGCTACGCTATTGAGGCTGCTTGCAGCAAAGTTGTGAGAGCACAGCTCTTCCTTTGCCTTACTTACTGTACAACCCAAGGCCACGGGGACAAAACTTTTCTTCTTAAATGATTGAACATAAAGTTATTGAATCCTTTCCTTTGAAAGAAATATATTATTTTAGTGCCTCAGTGTCTTCAAATGTTAACAGATTGTCAGAGTTGCTTTAAATCTGTTCTTTACTTATAGAATGGAAGTCTCTTTACCAAAAGGCAGCAAAAGGAGGGAAAAAATATGGGGACAACTTAATGGACTACTTAAGTAGAACTACTAAGCTTCATAATATCACATTGTTCGATCAGGACAATAGAATATCTGACACATGCGTGGCCACCGTAAATAAATGCTCCCCAGAAAAAGCCACGAATGACAAGGGTTGTAACGCAAAAATATTAGATAAAACTGTTGGTGTCTAAGGTGGATTAGCGCCCTTGGTATGAATAAAGCCATTCTCAAGACTTAGGACTCTCCCATTGTAGTGGCTGGATTTGTTGGCTGTTTTTGCTGATCCTGAGAATTGAAGTGCAACCGCACTGGTTTCAGGTCACTGTTCTACACATCAAAAAGATGGCGCCTGAACCTATCAACTAGTCATAGCCCCATTTAATTGTTTCATACCATTCCTATTGCAGATGATGAATGTCCTACAACACATAATGCTGTATTGAAGAAACTTGTAATAGAATTATTTTTGAAAATGGCAATATTCGGTGTATTAAAGTCTCAGATTTGTGTAGAGACAGGATGTATGTTTTCAACTAGGTGAGCTTCTGTATCATGTATTTATGTGTTTTGTCTTCCAACAGGGGGGCTGTTGCCCAGGATGGCCGTGTAGAGCCAGGAGACATGATTCTTGAAGTGAACGGCATCAGCTTTGAGAACATGAGCAATGATGATGCCGTGAAAACTCTCAGAGAAGCAGTGCAGAAACCAGGGTTAGTCCTCTGTGGATGTGTTTCTTGGAAATATGTTAGGATTTTAAAGTCATTGCTTTTGTCACCTGAGATGTCTGCACTGTCATGATAAACATGTTCATCTTCACCATTGTCACTATGTCTTCATCACCTTTATGTTCATCAACATCACCTTGATCATCATCATTATCACCATCATCATTATAACTATTATCTTCATATCATCACCGTCATTATCATCTTCATCACCATCACCTTCATATCATCACCATCATTATCTTCATCATCAACATATTTGTTATAATATCACCATCATCATTATCACCATCATGTTCATATCATCATCATCATCATCACCTTTATGTTCAACATCACCTTGATCATCATCATTATCACCATCATCGTATTCATTATAATCATCACCTTCATCGTTACCACAATCATCTTCATATGATCACCGTCATCTTCTTCTTCATCACCATATCTTTTCATCACCATCATTATGATCTCCTTCATTTCTTCATTTGAAGAACTGAGGCAGAAAACAGAATGTGCATCACTGGCAGATGTTATCAAAGTAAGACGATGGAGATGGCTTGGACATGTTTGCAGAATGCCTTGTGACACTCTGGCAAAAAAAAAAAGCTCTCTGGTGGACAGCAGATGGAAAAAGGAGACGTGGACGACCTAAGGAAACCTGGAGAAGGACAATAGAACGGGAAATGAAGGAATGTAAACTGACATGGGATACCATGGGCAGAAAAGCAGCAGACCGGCAGCAATGGAGATCACTTGTGAATGCCTTATGTGTCAACAGCAACATGAAGAGGATATAGATTATGATCTTCACCATCATCATATTCATTATAATCATCATCTTCATATCATCACCATCATCTTCATCTTCATTTCATCACCATCATTATCATCTTCATCATCAACATATTCATTATAATATCACCTTCATCTTTATTATCATCACCATCATCATCATTATCACAATCATCTTTATTATCATCATCATCACATGCATTGTTAGATGGCCAAGGTTGTTATTAATTTTCTCATACCTTGGTTCTCTTTATTGTGCAACAGTTATGTTGATAATGTTCCACCACTCCACATTTTTAGACCATTTAGCATCATTTCTCCTGTGGTCCGCCTTTTCTACCACCACTCTTTCTGATCACCATAATGTTCTCTGATGCTTCTCTTTCTTATTACACATCATGTTATGTTTTCATTAGCTCATTCCAAATAATCCTTGTTAGTTATTCTTAGTGTTCAAGAAGTATCTTTTCAGAAACCACATTTCCACTGCCTACAACCCAGTTCATTCATTATCATTGCAGCTGTCAGTGATATACTTTCAAACAGATTTCCACTGCCTACAAACAACCCAGTTCATTCATTATCATTGCAGCTGTCAGTGATATACTTTCAAACAGATTTCCACTGCCTACAAACAACCCAGTTCATTCATTATCATTGCACCTGTCAGTGATATACTTTCAAACATATTTCCACTGCCTACAAACAACCCAGTTCATTCATTATCATTGCACCTGTCAGTGATATACTTTCAAACATTTTTCCACTGCCTACAAACAACCCAGTTCATTCATTATCATTGCAGCTGTCAGTGATATACTTTCAAATGGATTTGACAATAAATGGGTACTGTTTAGAGAATAGGTGGGAAATGCAACAACAAGGAACACTCATGTCACTAGTGTTAGAATCAAACAAGTGCAGTCCTGGGGTGGGATATGGGACTCCAGTTTGCAGAACAGAGAATAGACCTCTGTCCTCCTAGCAAGCATTTTGTAGGAGGCAATTAAATGGGGGGGGGGGGGGGAATGGGGGTCCTCAAAGTGGGAGTGCATCTGCCTGAGAGGTGAGGTACCAACAGTCTGCATTACAAATATTGATAAAACAGATCTGTTAAACAGATATGCATGCAAAACTCAAGTTACTGTTAATAGGATTGAAGGTCAAAGGAGGGAAGAGGGGAGAAAGAGGTTCAGTATAAGCGACTGTGTCGTCAGGGCTTTTGAACTTCATTATAATATAAAAATTGTTGATATGGTTTCTACCTCTAATATTCTTAGAACACCCTGAACAAAGAAGGTGACTGTCTAGTTATGTTCTTGTATTTGATATTTTGCAGTCCAATCGTTTTGGTGGTTGCCAAGTGTTGGGACCCGAACCCAAAAGGCTACTTCACAGTGCCACGCCAAGAACCAGTACGTCCCATAGATCCTTCAGCCTGGGTTGCTCACACCACGGCCATGCGGGAACAGTACATGGGCCGCCCTGGACCCAACGCCCCTTCCATTAGTAACATGACCTCAACCACATCATCCTCACTGACCAGCTCCATACCAGAGTCAGAACGTGGTAGGGTCACTTCTGAATGTCCTGTCTAGTGTGTCCTGAGTAATGTCCTGTCTAGTGTGTCCTGAGTCATGTCCTGTTTAGTTTGGCTTGAGTAATGTCCCATTAAGTGTGTCGTGAGTCATGTCCCATTTAGTGTGTCTTGAGTCATGTCCTGTTTAGTTTGGCTTGAGTAATGTCCTGTTTAGTTTGGCTTGAGTAATGTCCTGTTTAGTTTGGCTTGAGTAATGTCCCATTAAGTGTGTCGTGAGTCATGTCCTGTTTAGTTTGGCTTGAGTAATGTCCCATTAAGCGTGTCGTGAGTCATGTCCCATTAAGTGTGTCCTGAGTCATGTCCTGTTGGTGTGTCCTGAGTCATGTCCTGTTTGTTGTGTCCTGAGTCATGTCCTGTTGGTGTGTCCTGAGTCATGTCCTGTTTGTTGTGTCCCAAGTAATGTCTGTTGTTGTGCCCTGAATGTCCTGTCAGTTTGGTAGGCCCTGAGTAATTTTCTGTTTTGTGTCTCCTGAGTAACGCCTTTTGTTTGTACTCGTAATTTCAGATTTATCGTGTCCTGAGTCATGTCCTGTTAATTGTGCCCTCAATCATGTCCTGTTTGTTGTACCCCGAGTAACGCCTTTTGTTTGCACTCGTAATTTCAGATTTAGTGTGTCCTGAGTCATGTCCTGTTAGTTGTGCCCTCAGTCATGTCCTGTTTGTTGTACCCCGAGTAACGCTTTTTGTTTGTACTCGTAATTTCAGATTGAGTGTGTCCTGAGTCATGTCCTGTTAGTTGTGCCCTCAGTCATGTCCTGTTTGTTGTACCCCGAGTAACGCTTTTTGTTTGTACTCGTAATTTCAGATTTAGTGTGTCCTGTTAGTTGTGCCCTCAGTCATGTCCTGTTTGTTGTACCCCGAGTAACGCCTTTTGTTTGTACTCGTAATTTCAGATTGAGTGTGTCTTGAGTCATGTCCTGTTAGTTGTGTCCTCAGTCATGTCCTGTTTGTTGTACCCTGAGTAACGCCTTTTGTTTGCACTCGTAATTTCAGATTTAGCGTGTCCTGAGTCATGTCCTGTTAGTTGTGCCCTCAGTCATGTCCTGTTTGTTGTACCCCGAGTAACGCCTTTTGTTTGTACTCGTAATTTCAGATTGAGTGTGTCCTGAGTCATGTCCTGTTAGTTGTGCCCTCAATCATGTCCTGTTTGTTGTACCCCGAGTAACGCTTTTTGTTTGTACTCGTAATTTCAGATTGAGTGTGTCCTGAGTCATGTCCTGTTAGTTGTGCCCTCAGTCATGTCCTGTTTGTTGTACCCCGAGTAACGCCTTTTGTTTGTACTCGTAATTTCAGATTTAGTGTGCCATGTAGAATGTACCTTTTGGTGTACTATGAATAATGCCTTATTCAGTGTACCTTGTGTAATGTCCTGTTTAGTGTGATGTAACTAATGTCTTTTTTGGTATGTGCTGAAAAATGTCCTGTTTGGTATTTTCTAAATAATATACGTCAGATGTGCCTGAGTAATGTCCTGTTTGGTTTGTCCTGAGTAGGGCCCTGTTTGATATGTTCTGAGTAATGTCCTATTTGGTTTACCCTAAGTCGTGACCTGTTTTTTTTAGTGTCTCTTGTGTAATGTCCTGTTTGATGTGTCTTGGATTAAGTCCTGTTAGTCATGTCTCAGTAATGCTCAGTTGTTGGTGTCCTCTGACTTCAGTTAGTGTCCTTTTTTATGTTTTTGTTTTTACGTAAATAAATTGATGTACATAGGTTTTTCTTGTCATGTATCAAGGGTGTTCTTGTGTACTAAGATGTTGTGTCATCACATAATATTGGTGTTTGTTTAGTTTTCACATAATATTGGTGTTCTTGCACACTATGCTTTTTTGTCGTCACATAGTATTGGTGATCTCTTATGATAAGGTTTTGTCTGATCTTGTTTTTGTTGTTGTATAAAATAGTTGTTCTTGTCTCATTGTATTTTTATTGTCGCATAATATATGTGTTCTTGTGTGATTGTGTTTTTGTTGTCGTATAATATAGGTATATCTTTGTGATCGTGTTTTTGTTGTCGTATAATATAGATGTTTTTGTGTGATCATGTTTTTGTTGTCGTATAATATAGGTGTTCTGTTGTGATCATGTTTTTGTTGTCGTATAATATAGGTGTTCTTGTGTGCTCATGTTTTTGTTGTTGTATAGCATAGGTGTTCTTGTGAGATCATGTTTTTGTTGTCGTATAACATAGGTGTTCCTGTGTGATCATGTTTTTTGTTGTCATATAATATAGGTGTTCTTGTGTTATTGTGTTTTTGTTGTAAAATATAGGTGTTCTTGTGTGAACATGTTTTTGTTGTTGTAAAATATAGGTGTTCTTGTGTGATTATGTTTTTGTTGTTGTAAAATATAGGTGTTCTTGTGTGATCATGTTTTTGTTGTCCTATAACGTGTGTTTTTGTGTGATCATGTTTTTGTTGTCATATAACATAGGTGTTCTTATGTGATCATGTTTTTGTTGTCATACAACATAGGTGTTCTTATGTGATCATGTTTTTGTTGTCGTATAACATAGGTGTTCTTGTGTGATCATGTTTTTGTTGTCATATAGCATAGGTGTTTTTGTGTGATCATGTTTTTGTTGTCGTATAACATAGGTGTTCTTGTGTGATCATGTTTTTGTTGTCGTATAACATAGGTGTTCTTGTGTGATCATGTTTTTGTTGTCGTATAACATAGGTGTTCTTGTGTGATCATGTTTTTGTTGTCGTATAACATAGGTGTTCTTGTGTGATCATGTTTTTGTTGTCGTATAACATAGGTGTTCTTGTGTGATCATGTTTTTGTTGTCGTATAACATAGGTGTTCTTGTGTGATCATGTTTTTGTTGTCGTATAACATAGGTGTTCTTGTGTGATCATGTTTTTGTTGTCGTATAACATAGGTGTTCTTGTGTGATCATGTTTTTGTTGTCGTATAACATAGGTGTTCTTGTGTGATCATGTTTTTGTTGTCGTATAACATAGGTGTTCTTGTGTGATCATGTTTTTGTTGTCCTATAAAATAGGTCTTCTTGTGAAATAATTTTAGTTGTTGATGCTGTCACATAATATTGGTGTTCTTGTGTAATAAGGCTTTTTATGACCTAATATTTGCAGTCATATAATAACAGAGAGTGTTCTTCTACACTAAGTTTAATGACAAGGCAGAAGTGGTCAGACCCCTTTGGAAACACGTAACGAAGTCAGCAGAGAAACTAGATTATTATGGCCTGGAGAGAATGATACACCTGGGTGTGACCAGAGGGTTCGGCCTGCACACTACGCTCAGAGGAAAGGCATGACAGACATACAACCAGTCCACATCTGGCATCATTGGTATTAGGACTCTGTGCTGGCTGCTGAGGATGGGGACGGAGCACATATGGGGATGCCCCGATGTCAGTTCTGCACTCAGCTCATCTAAGTTTAATGTCATCACATAACATAAAATCTGTGCAGTCACACAATAACAACAGTTGTTCTTGTGCTCTAAGGTTTCGACGACTTGAATCTAACCATCAGCACCGATATGGCTACAGTAGTAAAAGCGATGGCTCAGCCAGACTCCGGGCTGGAGATCAGAGACAGGATGTGGCTAAAGATTACCATAGCTAATGCATTTATTGGTGAGTTGCACTGTTCTGTGTATAATGGTTGGTTTATGTGGCACTAGCAGAAGAATATTTTATGCAGTCTTTCTTTGTCATTTGAGACGAGAAAGAGAATTCTCAAAAGCCTATTTGGATGTATGGAAATGAATGATGGACAGATGGTAGATTAGTAAAAACTTATTTGGAAGCAGCGGAGACAAATGATGAGGATACCCTGGACAAATAAAAAAAAGAGTAATGAAGATGTTCTTTAAAGAAACTGACTCAAAAGAGAACTGATTGACAACATCAGAAAGATACAATCTACATTCTTTGGTTATGTGATGAGAAGGAGAAAACTGGAGTACATTGTGACAGTAGGAAAGTTGGCGAGGAGTAGAGGCAGAGGGAGACCGTGAGAAAAGATGCTGGACAGTTTGACATCATGGCATGTACTCCAGTTTTCTCCTTCTCATCACATAACCAAAGAATGTAGATTGTCTCTTTAAGATGTGGGCAATTACTTCTCGTCGTGAATCAGTTTCTTTCAAGACATTCTTATTGCTTTTTTTATCTGTTCCGGTATTCTCATTATACATCTATAAAACCACATCTCTGCAGCTTCCAAATAATTTCTCACTAACCTACCAACTGTCCATGATTCATTTCCATATATCAAGATAGGATTTACATAGCTTTTAAGAATTCTCTTTCTCGTCATGTGCAGTTACCTCTGTATAAAATCTTACTCTCAGAATTTAGGATTTACACATGGAATATTACCTCTGCTACAGGTGCTGATCTGGTGGACTGGTTGTTCACACACGTAGAAGGGTTTGCTGACAGACGAGACGCCCGTAAGTACGCCTGCCACCTGCTGAAGGCTGGCTACATCCGCCACACGGTCAACAAGCTGACCTTCTCGGAGCAGTGCTACTACATCTTCGGCGACTATTATGGAGGTATGGGCACTTCACTGGACTGGTCTCTTATTGTTTATGTGTCCTTGCTTTTCATTCCTCCTCCTACCCACTTTATACCATAATAGAGCATAGGATCTTAACTAACCATTTTCAAGATTTCCAGTCATTTATTACAACATCCACCTCACTGCATTAGGCTTGTACATAATTATATATCTGTCCCAGTTTTTGGGAAGCTTTATGGCTTCTCCTTCATCTTACTCCTCTTCCTCCTCCCTTCTTCCCCCCTCCCTCCATTCCTCTTCCATTTCCTTTTTTTTCATTTTTTTTTCTTTTCCTTGTTCTATTTTTTTTTTCCATCTACTGCCATCTCCTCTTCTTATTCTTCCCTCTCCTTTCTTCTTTTTCTCCTCCTCCACTTCTTCCTTTGCCAGATTTGAGGTTTGAACAACGGATCAACATCATGGCACAAGGGTAGTAACCCATAAGTGCTCCGTTCTACTTCTTACTCATGTCTGAGTCCAAAGTAGCTTAGCCCAGTGCACGGGCTCCATAGCACCGACGAGGATCCTGAAATATTTGTGGGTAAATTTTAAACTCCCAATTTTGCCCGGACCACAATGTTAGGCTACTGTTTTCGATTTCTAACTGCCAAGGGATTTTTTTTTTACATGTGCAACAATAAACATGTGCATCCGATCTCCCTACCCAGAGACCAGGAAAAAATTACTAGAAGTTCACTAGAAAAAATCCCAACCTTCACCAGGGCCTGATGCCCTTGAGGCGGAGACCACGCAGCCCCTCCTTTTCTGCCATTTATCCTCTAATTGATGTTTCTTAACACACTTGTACTCACTGATCCCAGAAATACCTGCTTTTTATTGCAAGCATTTTGTGGGCATTGGACAGATACAAACTGTTATCACAACCATCCTGGAAGATGACAGAAGAGCACATGAGATGTGGTTTGCTCATTATCACGTCGGCCGCATTTGTTCCTGTGCTGATTTCTTGGTTTTTGGCCACAAATGTGGGATTCACATCAGAAACATTTGTAGATATTGGCCACAAATATGGGATTCTCATCAAAAACATTTGTAGATATTGGCCATAAATATGGGATTCTTATCATAAACATTTGTAAATATGCCTTCATCTGTCTTCTTTTTGTTTGCCCTCTTGTTTCACATCGGTTATTTTAGGTGCAGTCCCTGTGTTAGTAATAATGTTTGTAGATCTTAACAACCTGGTCCCTGTGGCACAGTGGTCAAGCCGTTCGCCTTATACTCTGAAGTTTGTGGGATAGTTTCACAGCTACATCACTCAGATCATGAGTGCCGTTTTTACAGAGACCCCCTAGGTATTACTGTCGCAGCTACAGAGTTTGGGCTTTGTGCGACACTCTCGAGAGACGGATAGCCATTCTACGGAAAGAGGTAAAGCCATGTGTGATAAAACCTGGTACAGTGAAGTCGGTCCTCTCGACTTTAACCTTAACTTGTAACTAAAAATACTGTACTCATTCATTTTGTTGAGATTACTTTGTTTTCACTTTTTTCTTTAGCCTAACAATTTATTTTTATCATCTGCAGGTCCTCCAATATACCCAGGTAAGAAGTATGTGCCTGTTGCTTGTTTTGTTATGTTTCTTCTTCTGCATTTACTCTCAAAAGGGTGATTGGCAAATTGTGTTGTGGTTTACAGCTAGGCTATGATATCTGTGCCTTTTAACCCAGCACATCAGATTTTAGCAAATGCTCACTTAATTGTCTTTTGCAACATGCTTATTAAGGTGCGGGAGGGTCCATTCTCTTGCTTACCTGACCATTAAGGCATATTGGTTAGATATGGTGCTTGAGCCACATTTTCTTGATGACAGAACAGCACATATGGAATGTTATTCTCTGCTTTATGTCGGCCAATCTTTAATTTCCTGGATACATGTCTGGTACTCATTTATCAAGCATGGAGCCAACTGTCATCTTCTAGAGTTGTGCCAGCTGGAGAGAAAAGAGAAATGTTGGACTGGAAATCACATGTAGACAGTTGGGTTGCCTGTCATCCTGCATGATAAGACAGACGTGGTTAGTGCCTTGTGGGAGAGCGTGTACAGTTTGGAGGTGCAGATGATCACCACAGTCTGGTGAGATTGATGCAGTTAAGGGTGACGAGAGGTTCTGGCAGATGCTCGCGGCTCAGAGGATAGGCAAGACGGATGTTTAATCAGAATGCTACTGGCACCATTAGAATCGGAACTCTTTACTGGCTGCTGAAGATGGGAACAGAGCGCTTATGGGAATGCCCCGAGTTTTGTGATGTCGGTTCTTGAATCAACTCAACTCAACTCTGTCATCCTCCAGAATTGTGCCAGCCAGTAAGAAAAAGAGAATCCTGCACTAGAAATTGGATGTAGACAATTGAATCAACTGTCATTCTGCCATCCAATGCTGGTAAGGGAAAGAATCCTCCACTAGGGATTACTTACTTACCTACCGAAATTTTAGTAAGACAATCCTTTCAATTTGAGAAGCTATAGAACTAGCACTTCTGGTTAGGTCAAGTTCCCCATAAATGTCACTTTTCTGACTTGTCTATAGAGCAGTGTTTATGAGACACATAGTTAATGCTATTGGCTTCTTTCACACCTGTGCAGATGTTTAGGAGGTCAGAATATGAATACATTAACTAAAAATAGCCTGGAGAAGGGGGGGGGGGCTTTAAGCTGAAAGGCTTTTTAAAGCCAAGTTGACATCAGATTTCTCCATAAGCCTCAGTGATATAGGTCATGAGGTCATAACATGAGTCACCTGATGCATGTTTTATAGACCCAGGCGAAATTATTTCATTGAATTATTCACCATGTTCAGGTTTATTGATTACTCCATTCACAAATTTATTTATTTTTTTAACGGGGGAAAATATAGATAAATACATTTGTTATAAATGAACTAGGGACCTGTGTAAACTTATTTTTTTAAAGGATTTTTTCTTGAATTCTAACAGTGTCATTGTCCATTTTGTTTAGTGTACCTGGGGCGAGAGAGTTAATGACACGGGCAAATTTGCTGTGCTTGTGGAAATTCTGGTGTCATTTAAATCACAGAATAAAACTAGCTTTTTGTTTTCTTTTCAGATATGGTATTTTTTAAATAAGACTGGAATTATACAGATTGTTCTATTTTCCCCTGTAGCAACATAACGGATGTGAGTCATGGACTATCTCCCAGTCCTTAAGAAAGAGAATAGGGGCTTTTGAGCTGAAATGCTATAGAAAGATTCTCAGAATGTCTTGGACACACAAAAAAAGAGGAGAAATACTGACATCCTGAAAGATCTGAACATCAAGGAAGATTGGCTAATAAACAGCATCCTGTCTCGGAAGCTGAAATATTTTGGTCATTTCAAACGTCATGGTGGATTGGAAAAAAATAATAGCAGAAGGCATGGTACCAGGAAGGAAGGGCAGGGTTTCGACCGACACGAAGATGGGCACAGGATATAAGCGACTCCTTGAGTATGAAAGTACATGAGGCGGGAGAGCTGGTGAGAAACAGTTTCTTTTAGACATACCCTGATAAGAGCGACCTTCTGCAAAGGAACTGCTACTTGATGATGATGATTTCCCCCTCTCTAAAACCTAATGATGTTTAATATGCAGAGTAAAAATAAAAATACTGTTTTGTTTTATCTCAAACCTAATGACAAATACTGCACAGAATCAAATAACACAGTTTTGTTTGTTCTCGAATCTGATGTCACTTAATGAAGAGAATGAAATAACACAGTTTTGTGTTTTCAAATAATTATAGTCATTTTATAGCCCAGTGTCTTTTAGTATAGGGAATCAAATAACAGTTTTTAATTTGTTCTCAAACACGGTGCCAGTTAATAAAGAGAATCAGACAAAACAGTTTTAGTTGCTGTCAAACCTGGTGACTTTTACTATAAATAAACCGAATAACACTATTTTGTCTGTTCTCATATCTGATTCCCATTAATAAAGAGAATGAAATAACACAGTTTTGACTGTTCTTAAACCTAGTATTCTTTTATTAAGAGAAGAGGTGCTTTTCATAAAGAGATTCAAATAATACTGTTTTGTCTTTTCTAAGACCTAGTATTCTTTTATTAAGAGAAGAGGTGCTGTTCACGTTTCCAGGCCCAGGATTAAAGTAACTTCCCTTGCCATTCATGCCTCCATCTAATCCTGGGCCTGGAAACTTAAAATAGGACCAGAAAAAAAAATAACACTGTTTTGTCTGTCTAACACCTAGTGTCATTTAATATACACAACACAATCAAATGACAGGTTTGCTTGCTGTCAAACTAGGTGTCTTTTAATACCCAGAGTCACTTAACACTGTATGTTCTGTTCTTAGACCTGGCATCCCTGAACCTAGAAGATGTGGACTCTGTATCAGAGGCGGACCGCGACACCCTGGCACCCCTGCCCCCGCCCTCCTGGGCCGGCAGCCAGTTCCCTTACACCACCAACACATACCTGCCTCAGAACCTGCACTACATCCCCGCGTATGCACTCAACAGTGCCGACGCCGCCAGCTTTGTGGGCAGCTTTGTGGACGTGCCTCCTGGCATCCCCTCACCTGCCGTCACTGGGGTGGCTAGTGTTCCTGGTGGTGCCATTGGCGGTGGTGGCAGCGCAGGAAGTACCCACAGTGCTTCAGGTGAGTTCTGGAATGTGTTGTCATCTTTTGTGAATTTACTGAGTTCTCTGAATACCACAGGGTCTCCCATAAGTTTCTCTACATAGGAAAGGAAATCACATTTTGATGCATGTCCTTCCCTGCTGAAGAAACATGTATAAGCACAGCTGGAGTTATGCTTGTGTTGTTATGTTATGCTTGGTGGTATGTTCATTTTTTATTATGTGTAGAAACTGCTGGGACATCCTGTAGAATGAGTTTACTGAAAAACCTTGATTCAATAAAAACACATGTCACCTGTTTAAAAAAAAAAATTTGTAAAGTACTCTTCTAATTCTTCTTCGCTTTCACTGGCTGTAAACTCCAGCAAAAATTTCTGGTTGTTTGCCACCTCTAGACTTTAGCCTTGTTTCAGAAGTTGTGTGCACAGTCATTTTACAGTTCTGGCTTTTTTTTTTGGGTAAGCAGACTGTTGGTTCCTTGCCTCTCATGTAGATGCACTAAGACTTGGAATGATACCCCCACCTCCAAATTTGTCGATACCTACGCTTGAAGAGGCAGTGGGTCCATTCTTGTTTTACCCACAATGGGGTTCTAGGGCCCAGAATGAGAAAGTGCCCTTTTTTTAAAATTACATTTGGCATTTTCTTTTTAAAAGACAATCAGCACTTGTTGGTTGATATGGTCAACATCCTGCCATCTGCCTTAGCTTGCAGATACATATCCTGGTACCCATTCTAGATAGATCTTCCTGGAAACCTGTGTCTTTGAAAGTTTCACCTCGGTACTTTGTTTGAGGCTCTTGGCAGGCGGCCAACCATTCTGCAGAGAATGAACAGGCAATGGGATAAAACTCATTGCAGTGAAGTCGATCCTTTAACCTTTAAACTTTTTCTAGGATTCAAGAAAGCCTTGTTTGTTATATGGGTTTTCATCAGACTTGAGAAAACAGGGATGAAGAGGATTTGAGTTTTTGCTGGCCTCAGTTCAGCTGATAAACTTACTCAACAGCCATGCATGTTACCTGCTTGCTTTTAATTGTAATTCTTTGTTACCGCTCACGAAGGTTACTATTAACCCTTTTGCCCTGTTATTTTTTTTATTGACCTTTTACAAAACTGTTAAAAAGAAATGCCTCTTTACAAATCCCTGAATTTCTACCCTAAGAAACTATAGGAAGAGTAGAAGAAAAAAGAAGTTTGGAGTCTTGGGCAGTTTTTAAAAAATAAACAGGCAAATAGACAGGCAAATATGAAGTCCACAGCTAAATCGCAGCCGTTAGATCACTAAAACAATGCATATGAATTATTTTTTATACACACACACACACACACACACGCACGCACGCACGCACACACACACAGAGAGAGAGAGAGAGAGATATATATACACACACATACATACATATTTTTTGGGGAGCAAAGTTTTTTTGTTTAAATTAAGGGAATTATTAATTAAATACAAGCAAAACACTTAATTCTTCTTCTTACTTTTTCTCCGGCTGTAAGCTCCGGCAGAAAGTCCTGATTATTCACCCATTTGGACTTTGGCTTTGTGCCAGGGCCTGAGTTTCGTGTGCACATCAAATTTTCTGGCTTATTTATGTGCAGTCGGTAATTCTTTGCCATTGGGCAGAGGCACTCTGACTTTGAAGAAAGCTCCCAATTAGTTTACTCTTATGATACGCTAGTTAGGAAGGCAGTGGGTCTGTTCTTGTTTGCCCCACAGTGGGGCCCTAAAACCCACACAAGGAGAGCAAAGAATTAACTGCTTGTCTTCCCTTTGACCATGATAAATGTGGTTTTGATGACTTAGCCACTGGGAGCAGAATTACCTCATTCCAGATTATTATGAGGTCAAGGCAGAAATCACATTGTTCGTGAATGTGATTTAAAAAAAAAAAAAAAGAAATCGCTTATACAGGCGTACCGGCAGCTGCCAAAAGATTTAATGTCGTTACAAACAGGACGAGATTACAAAGTTAATGTGGAATGATTGGTTTATAGGAGTGGAGTGCTTGAATTTGTTAGTCCCTTTTTGTTTGCCTTTTTGTGTTTTTGTTTTGTGTTTTAAATATGCCCTTGGTTCTGATTGCTATTTTTTCTTTTGTAAAACTTACATTTGTTTTATAACTTGCTTTAGTTGATTGTGCTGTTGTATTGTACCTTTCTGTCTTTTTAGATGTTGCTTTCTCTGTCTGTCTGTCTCTCTGTCACCAAGCAACTGTTTGGTGTATTTTTTCTTAGTATAGGTAGTGGGAAAGATGAAATTCGAAAATGTATGCTTTTATCATTTGTAACCCATGCTTGTCCTTTGTGAAAAAATGCCATCGCTTGCTTGTTTGTAACATACTTTTGGTGGGACTCACTGTCTGGCTGCTTCTACAGTGTTGATTTTAAAGGTTACATCCATTTCCAACATTCTTTCTAACATTCAGACTCCTGCTTCTTATATTGTAGACACCTGTAGATTGTCACAACTATTAGGCCATGTTTGCCAAAGTAGTGTCTTACTTCTGTACATCTGACAGGTTCATCTTATTTTTTTTAAATAGCAGCTTCAGGCCAACCATGTCCCCACTGTTTCCTTTATTATTGTTGTCAATTTCAGTTGTGACTAAAGAATGTGCATGTTTGGCCAGCACTTATAACCAGCTGAAGAGGCTGTGGGAAAACAAAGATAAGCAATTTATGCAGCAGCAGCAACAACCACTACCACAACCACCACCACAGTATGCTAAAGTGTCCACAGGATCCGGAGGCTGTGGTGACAGGGTGGGCAACAGTGACATGCCTTACCTTGGAGGTCCTCCCGTCAGCCTCTTCCATGAATCCTCATGCATGTGGAGTTCCAATTATAGCTTAGGTTCGTTTGCCTGTAGCATTTTAACTTTTTTTCTTTTATATTTGTTTTCAGCATGACTCACACACACAAAAAAACTCTTTCAGTACCAAACATCACACCAAATGGTTTTTGGTTGTTCCAAAAGATAATAATATGATGACCCTACCGTCTTTTACAAGACAGGTGTATTAGTTTAAATGTTTCTGGCCTACTGTGTGTCTGTTCGGTGACTTCAAACTTTCAAGCTCAGCTCCTTGGGGTAAAAGGAGTTAAGGTAACAGGTGTTTGGGACTGAAAGAGTTAATTTGAAATTTTTGTTTTGTTTATTTTAGTTTGGCTTTTGCAGTATGCTTTGTTTATTATGCATTGTTTTGACATTTGACCTTTTGACCCTGAGTTCAGTGGTGGAATGGTTATTTGAATTCTTCCCTACTGCCTTTAAAGGATATTTCATATGATAATCACATGTTCCTGGCCAAGCCACAGTTGATGTAACAGGCATATCATGGAGATGGTTGTGCAGCAGATAATTGACATAGGTGCTCCCACTGTGGGTTCCAGGGCCCATTTGAGGGGAGTAGACACCCTACCTTTATGCAGGCATGTTAAATCAGATGTGTTGGATTGAAGAATATAGTCCTTATTATTCACCTGCTTTCTTGTTATCTGTCTCAGATTATCGTTATTTATTCTCTTTTTACCAATAAGTGTGCATTAGGCTTGTTAATATTTTTCAAACACACACACAAACGTCAACCCACTTAAAAAACACACAGAATAGACCCACCGCCTCCCTCCCACCCACCCCCACAAACAAGCATATAACATCTGATTAATTGCCTGAGAGGCAAGCAACCAGCAGTATGCTTACAAATAAGCCAGATCTGTCAAACAGATGTGTACATAAATTCAAGTTCTGGAACAAGACTTCAAAGTTCAGAAATGGACGAACAGCCGGTAAAGACAACGAAGAAGACGACTACAATTCCATCTGTATTGATTATTCATTAGGCCTCTAGAATTCATTTGCCACATCGACTAATCAACTATTATTAAAAACTTATTGAAGTATTGAAGTCTGGTAAGTTCCTGAACCTAGAAATCAAATAGAATATAGTCTAAATTGTTATCTATAGACAGCTATACAGTTTAATATCTCTCAGGATATTAAAAAGCCAGTATACTTACCACACAAAAAAAAACACAACAGCCCAAAAAATGCTGGGGGTTTGTTCTGCAACGTCCTGTAAAGTATCTATTAGAAAGATAGCACTTTCATATTGCATAGAGCAGGAAAATTCAAGTAAGTTTACAACATTTTGTAAGTGTGGATCGTCACGGGCTTGAGGCCTGAGCCTCAGCATAAAAAGATCATTAATACAAACAACTGGTAGTGCAGCATTGAAAGTTGGTGTGTGTGGCTTTGGCGTTGTAAACGCAATTCGTAGTCTGTCCCAGCTGTGGGTGATTTGGCAGCAGATCATCTTGCATTTATTTCAGCAGTGGTAACGAGAGTTCAAAATTCAGTAGCAGTGGCAAACTACTCAACATAAATTTACCAAGAAAATCACGACAGCAAAAAAAAAAAAACACTGGATTGGTTCTGCAAAGTCCTGTGAAAGATAAACAACTAACCTTTTTTAACGTGTTGAAATCCTTTTGGCATTTGTAAATGAATGGACCATACAAGCCCTGGCTAGATTGTGAAATAAATATCCTACCCACAGCATACATCCTGACAAGAATAATGATGAGCAGATGGTAGCAACAACTGGAACACTGCATATTAGAGTCTGTCAATGCCCCAAGTGCCCAAAAATATGGTACACAAGATTCTGCTGCAGGAATCAAGCTGACATGCAGGTGCTGCTCTGGGAAATGATTAATTCAGCCAAGCCAAATACCAAAACCTGCTGAGTTCAGAACTTAGAATCCCAATAGATATTGTCTTGTCCGTCTTTAAAATGCCCACAGAAAAAACAGTCACCCTGTGAGATATCCGACTGACACAAACTGAAAAAATCTAAGGCCAGAAATGTCACTTGGATGATATTCCTTATCATAATCATATGATCCTAGTCAAGCCACAGTATCATAATCATATGATCCTAGCCAAGCCACAGTATCATAATCAAATGATCCTAGCCAAGCCACAGTATCATAATTATATGATCCTAGCCAAGCCACAGTATCATAATCATATGATCCTAGCCAAGCCACAGTATCATAATCATATGATCCTAGCCAAGCCACAGTATCATAATCATATGATCCTAGCCAAGCCACAGTATCATAATCATATGATCCTAGCCAAGCCACAGTTTTTGTAACAGTCATATACAGCAGAAAATTGACATAGATGCTCCCAGTGTGGGTTCCAGGGCTCAGTACCTTTTAAGAATCATGTTAGAGGCAACTAATTAGGATGTTATGATGAAAAAGTGCAGATATCGCAACATAGCTGTAAACCACAACACATTGTTTCAATCACCCTTGAAAAGCGAACACAGAAACATAGAAAAAGAAAACAGGCATAGGTGCAAGTTGCTGGAATGATAGCAATGAATAAATTAGTTCTGCATTCAGTGAAAACACAAAAGCATCAAACTGAACTACTCAGGTAGATCTCAGTCCAAGCATTGACAAAAACAAGAAAGGCTTCACAAATTGGAAGTGATGATTAACTGTTGCACACTGATTTCAAAAGAAAAAGCAAGCTAGCAAACCTAATAAAAACTTAACCTACCAACTTAAGCAGAAAGCAAACTTTATATCAGTAGAATCTTTATTAAAACACTGCTGTGTCAGCAGACAAAGTCTCTCTTCTTCTCTCTCACTCTTGTTCTTCCTTCCCTGTCTCTTCTTCTTCTTCTTCTCTCTTTCCACCTCCTTTACCTTTCCCTTTCCTTTTTCTGAAATGAACCTCTAATGGCATGGTTGTTCTATAGCAGTTCCCTAAACTTGACTTGAAGTATTGATTAAATTTCTTCCTTTTTATTCATCTCCAGAGATAAACCCAAATCTGTTTAAAGAAAGCTCATTCATATCTTTCCCTTTTCTTCTCTCTTTTCATCCTTTCTCTTCCTTCTTCATTCTGTCTGTCAGCCTGACTGTATGTCTGTCTCCTCCGCTTGTTTTTCTATTGTCTTTTTCATCTTGTCCACTCTTCATTTTTCATTCTCTCTCTGCCTCTCTCTCTCTCTCTCTCTCTCTCTCTCTCTCTCTCTCTCTCTCTCTCTCTCTCTCTCTCTCTCTCTCTCTCTCTCTCTCTCTCTCTCTCTCTCTCTCTCTCTCTCTCTCTCACACACACACACACACACAGGAAAAAAAGACAAAGCAATCTTGTCCACAGGTAATACCCCCAAAATATAACAGATCTGCATATCTACAACTGAGCGGTGCCAAGGACATTGTTCAAGAACAGGATACTCTTGTATATCACAAATGGGATGTCGGTGAAAATACACTTCTGTCTTGCTCTGCTATTAGGTGCAGTAAATGCACTTCTTTGTAGTCTTCTTTTGATAGTCCTCCTGATTCAAAGGCAGCATTACTCATTTTCATGTATTTTTCTTCATCTTCATTCGCCCTTAAAAAGACATCTGCATGTTGTGATGTGGTGTACAGCTAGGCTGTGGTATCTGCGCCTTCTGTCCCCCAAACTTTTTGATTTGATAAAAACCACTAATTTGTTGCCTGTTACAATATGCTTATAAGGCGCAGTAATTCTACTCCTCCTCAAACCCTACCCTCAGAAGGGGCTCTGGAGTCTCGTGGGCTTGACAAATTTAGGTTTAAAAAGTGTGCATGTTAGCTAGAATAAACCATGAAGAGTTAGTAATTCTTGTTTTATATCCTTTTACGTCGCAGTAGTGCTTCAAAGAGAGATTTTTTTTATTAAATCATTTTACAGCACAACAGTGCTTGATGAAGAAGTAATGACTTATATTATAACACAGTAGAGCTTCAAGAAGAGTTAATGTTTCTTGTATTATATCCTTTTACAACACCCCAGTGCTTGATGAAGAGTTAATTACTTATGTTATATCTGTTCACAACTCAGTAGTACTTCATGAATAGTTAATGATTATTGCATTAGATCCTTTCACAACACACAAGTATTTCACCAAGAATTAAAGGTTGTTGTTCTGTGATCTTCCACAATAGGCAGTAGTGCTTCGGGGAGCAGCAAGAAGGAAAAGGACAAGTCTGGCGGGAAGTCGGGCGGCAGCGGCAGTGATACGGATGCCAGTTTAGCTAGCACTCGATGGGTGGCACCTGCAACTGCTCCTGGAGCACCTGGAGCCCCACCGTTAACAAATTTGGCTTCAGTGCCTCCAGAAGTTAGCGGCAGCCGACAGTCTTTCCGCATGGCTATGGGAAATCCTTGTGAGTTTTATATTGATCTCTTGTGAAACATCATGAGAACTACTTTCTTTGTGATCATTTGCAGACTGTCTGTTGTCATTAATGTAACCTAATGTTTTTTTTTTTGGGGGGGGGGGGGGGGGGGGGGGGGGGAGTCCTTGTTCTTTTGAACATCTGTAAGACTTTTTCTCATTAATTTAGTATGTTTTTTTCTCCCCCTATTTTGTTGTGCATCTCGAGTAGTATATAAGTTGAAAATTTCCCGCATTTTTAGGGTGTTGCTGCTCTGTAACCTTTGTTAAAGCACCTCCACCAAAGAATTAAAGGAAAAAACGAAGTGCACCTCCCCAGCAAGAGGTGCCGATCAGTTGTGGCTAGTGTAGTCTCATGACCGTGATGACTCTCTATTTCTGTTCTTAGAAACGACTGATCCTCACCCACATGGGAGCTGTAATAATGGGAACAAACACATACGTGTAGTATCTTGACTTACACTAAGAATACATGTGCCAATTAACTAGGGTCACTTAACTGCTCCAGTGGTTTGATGTTGCCTGGCGACTCAGTTGAGGGTCTTGTGGGGGACTCGTGATGGGGCCACATTGGGGGTCAAGAGACACTGCCTTTGTGCCTTTCAAGCCTGAGTCTGAAGATTCTCAGTGCAGTGCTCTCTCTCTCTCTCTGTCTCTCTCTCTCTCTCTGTCTCTCTCTCTCTTTCTCTCTCTCTTCTCTCTCTCTGTCTCTCTCTCTCTCTCTCTCTCTCTTCTGTCTCTCTCTTCTCTCTCTCTCTGTCTGTCTGTCTCTGTCTGTCTGTGAGTGTGTGCATGCGTGCCTGCGTGTAAGTGAAAGCCAAAACCTGAGACTAAAATCCAGCAGCTACATTTTGTTTACTGAAATTGATTATTAATAAAGAAGATGAAAACAGTCCAAATTCACAGTATCCTTTTTGTGTTCGTTCTCTAGCTCTCATTGAGGCCGAGGATATAGACTGACGGTCGCCACCTGCTTCCTGAGACACAGACTCTCCTAGAAAAGAAAACCAAAAACCTCATATATACTCGCCTGGACTGGTTCTCCTGCCCACATGCTCAAACAGCTGATTATTCACATGTTATTTCTCTTTAGTGATGCCTGTCTCTTTGTATCGTCACTGCATCATTTTTTTCTCACCACTTGTGTTGTCTCTGAGATTCCATTAAATTGTGTTGTTGCTGCTAATGTTTGTGAAAGTTTTGTGTGTACTGTACGTGAAATGCTGATGAGAGATGTATGTTCTTTGTAGAATTATGGTGGAACTATGGTAGAACATTTTTTCACCGTTTGTGACTTTTGTTGTATCTGAGGTTCCCTCAGATAGTGCTGTTGCTGATGTTTGTGAAAGTTTATTTGTGCACGTACGTGGAGTGCTAATAACAGATGGTTGTATGTGTGTGCTTTGGTTGGCGTATACTAAAAGCCTAGAAATATGGCTATATTAGTGTTTCATTTAAGTACACATTTCAGCAGAGGATAAGATCAAATCACAAGCAGTTATAAATGGGTTCTAGGTGTTGTATGCTGCAGAATCTCAAGGGGTAATATTATCACCCAAAATTTGATTGGTCTGCCCCCATGTATGTTGTGCACATTTTAAGTTGAAGGTTTTGTATAAGTTCTGTTTTACTGTAGCAACAAGATATTTGTAGTTTATAAAGAATTCTAATTTTGTTGTGGTCTCTCTCAGTGGTGGTGCTAGATTTTTTTAAACTGCTGGCGTTAATCTTTAGATGTAGAGCTTGTCTCTATCTGGATACTAGGGTCCCCATTGGAGGGGGGGGGGGCTGTGGAGAAGAGAAGAGACTAACTGCTCCTTAGCAAGCGTAACATTTGATTAATTAAGGGTTTGGTGAGGTCAGATGTGTTGAGCTGAAAGACCAGATATTGCAGTCTACATGTAAACTAAAACACAACATGCCAGCTGCTCTTTTCAAGGGTGAATACAGAAGAAGAAGAAGGCGTGGAGTTGAGAAATAGAACAGATTCTCCCATTGTTGAAGCAATGGTTTTTTTTTTTAGGTGTAGAGGAGAATCTTTTCATTGTTGTTGTGATTTTTAGGTGTGCTGTAAATCCTTCCATTGTTGAAGTGATTTTCAGATGTAGAGAAGATTCTCCGGTGTAGAAAAGATTCTCCCATTATTGGTGATGTGATTTTCGGGTGTAAAGTAGATTCTACCATCATTGAAGTGATTTTTAGGTGTAGATTCTCCCATTGGTGAAGTGATTTTTCATGTGTAGAGTAGATTCTCCCGTCGTTAAAGTGATTTTTTTAGGTGTAGAGTAGAATCTCCCATTGTTAGAGCAATTCTCAGAGCTTTAGAACAGATGTGCATGCAGAACGTCTAGTCCTGAAATGAGACCAATGTCCAGAAGTGGACTACAACCAGGATTTCCCTGCTGGAGTTTACAGCAGGTGAGCTTGAAGAAGAAGAGTTGATGAAGAATTGAGTTGTAGAGCTAGTTTATGTTTGAGTGAGCTGAGTTTTGCTAGCTCAGGTAAACCCGCAAAAATACATGATCATGGATGATGGAGAGATATATTGATTTAAAAACAAAATATTATACTTTTGACAACAAAAAATAATAATAATGTTTTAATAATATTTGATGTAATCCTGTTATTATTAATTTTGTTAAACATCTAATTGTCAATCCATTGTCACTCATCTGTGCCTCTTTTTTTCATTTTTTGTTTTGTTTTTGGGGTATCATCTTCTCGAATTTCTGTGGTGATTTCCTAGCTCTGTCTTTGTAATATTTCTTCTTCTATTCTGTCTTTGTATTTTCTTTTTATATCTTTTCTTTGTAATCTTTCTTCCTCTGACCTTTTTCGCCAGATGAAACACAGGCATACAGCCAACTTATATCATCTATCCCCTGTCATTTGCTGTTGCTTACCACTGACCCCACCCATGCCCTTCCCATCTTTTTCGCAAAATTCTCTTAATGTGTTTTTTGGTCTGCCATTTTTCCTTTGACCCTGTGAATTCCATTGCTAGGATATTCTAGTTATATTGTTACCAGGTTTTTCAGTGTGTATTTTATCGAGAGCCAGCATCTTGTCCTCACCTCCTGATTCACCAGAATTTGTTTAGTTCTTTCCCAGAATACTGCATTAGTGATTCTTTCCCTGGATTGATGACTTCTATTTTGTTTAACTGTGTTTCCCTGAAAGTGAGACTGAGTCTAAATTAATGTTTGCCCTAAAAACACATTAGGGTTTTTCTGTCATGTTAGTTAGTTAGTTAGTTGCGTATCCTTTGCAGAACGAACCCTAGCATTTTTTGGCTGTTGTGGTTTCTCTAGGCAAATTTTACGTTCAGTAGATTGTCATTGCCATATGAACGGTCAGCTCTCCGTACCACAGTCGAAACCAACGCACGACAAATCGTCAGCAGCTGGGATCGTACTTGGTATACCCTGTCATGTACACAACTTTTATTCACGGTTCAGAGATCTACATTTGTTCAGGTACAGAAATATACATTTACTGAAGTACAAAAATCGGCACTATTTGCTTTGTGGTACTTATACATAGACGTCTAAAGGCGCCCACTTGCATATTTTCAAATATTTAAATATGATTTATATTATCATTTATTTAAAGTGTTAATGTCAGTAATAATATATGTTTATACATTCATTACTTTATAATACAGTACGCCCATCTGTGTATTGGTGGATGGATCAAATTTGTGCGTCGTGGCTGACAATCTTACCTGTGGCTTATTTCCAGGGTAGGTCTTAGTTTCAAGGAAACAGTATCATCTGTTCTGTCTCTTTTGATGCCATATATATATCATGTGTTCTGTTTCCGTATTGACAATTTTTTTTCAGATTTTTTCTGTTCGGTCCTTCAGTGGTAATGCCTTCTATATTTTTTGTGTGGCCACGGGTCAGTATTCATTTATTTGCTTTCAATGCGGTTTATTTTCCTGGTTATTGGCATCTGTGGATTAGAGATTATGAACACAGTTTTACAATCCCAGCACACCAGATTTCATTTTCAGCTGCCGGTGATTTGTCTATAGATTGCTTTGCCTTGATTTCCACAAGGATTTTACAGTTCAGAAATCAATGGCAAACTACTGAATGTAAAATTTCCTAGTAGAACCACACGGCTGCCAATAAATGCAAGATTTTGCAATGTCCTAAAAAGGACAAACAACTTACTTTAGCATCTTCCTGGTTGTGCTGTTCTTTCTGAGTGCCAGTTAATTCCTGTCAGATTGCTCTTTGTCCTTTATAAATAAAACAAGCAGCGAGAAAATCACATTAAGTTTCTAAAAGTAAAGATCCCTTTTCCACGCCTGTCAGGCGTATAGGGCTAGCCCTATATTTTATAGACCAAACGGCATTTGGTGGGTGATGTGGTCAGTATCACGTTGGCCGCCTTTACTTCCGGGGGCTGCACCTGGTACCCACTCAAGGCTAGAATGACCTGGGAGCCAAATTGAGTTTCTGGAGATGTGGATCTGCAGAAGAATAGGTTGGATTTCCTGGAAACAAAAACAATTAAGTACAGATGGTCTGGAAAGAGGGCCAATGAAAATAGCGTTGCTGAATGAAATAAAAAGAGACAGTTGAAATATTTTTGCCGCAGTAAAAGACATAACACTTTAAAAAACCATACTGGAGGGAAATGTTGAAGGTAAGGAAGCAAGAGGTGGAGAGCGATACAAGTGGTAAACATCAGGACAATAAAAAAAGTAAAGGTAAAGTCGGAAGATGTGAACCAGCGTCATTGCACATGGTAGTGAACCATAAGTGCTCTGCCACCAGTACGGATAGCTGATAAGAAACTGTCCGCCTGTGTCGCCGTCCGCGTGTAACTCCGTAGCTATAGCAACGTTCCTCCATTCACCCCAGAGTGTCAACTCTGGTATCCATTTCCTAGAGGCTGGGTGATCCCCGGGAACCGCCCGGTTTCGAACACCGACCGTGGCTGCAGCGAGTCGCAGCTGGATTTGAAAGTAAGCCTCCTATCGACTACGCTAACGCGGCTCCCTACGAGACAACAGGACAAGATGAAGAGATAGACAAACAACAGCCTGCAAGAGTGTAGAACTAAGACTAGAGACAGAGTGAATGAGATCCATTGCAGCCGACCTTTATTGTGGAGAGGGCACCTGATTCATTGATTGATAAATCATGTGGAATGAATTTGGAAAATTCAATGCTTTTGTAGATATTGTGTAAATAAGACAAAAATCAAATTTATTAATGAAATAGTCCAGTTTATTTTATAAAAAAGTTGTAATGCAACAGTGTTTATAAATGTAAGAGTCAGATCTGTTTCATAAATAAGACCAGAATATCTCAGTTTTCAGTGGAATAATCATAGCATTTGTAGATTTCATACAGATAAATGATAATTTCCCGTGTTCAGTAGTAGAATAATCACAAAGCCTTTTAAAATTTATTATTAAATTGACTGAAATCTCCAGTTATAGAGTGTTGTTTATTATGTGGTCCGAATTTCCAGTTATAGAATGCTAGGTATTAAAAAAGTAGACAAAACCTCCAGTTGCATATTGTTGGGTTTCAAATAAGTAGATAATATCTCCATTTATAGATAGTTGGGTATTTTTCAAATAGATTTCCCGTGGGTACCAGGGCCCCATTTTGGGGATTATTGGGTATTGTCTGCGTAGAGCAAATCTCCAGTTTCTGTTTAAACAACGGATCAACATTATGCCACAAGAGTGGTAACCCAGAAGTGCTCCGTTCTACTTGTAACTCGAGCCTGATTCCGAAGAATCCTAGCGCAGTGCGCAAATTCTCTAGCACTGGCGAGGATCCTGAAATACTTAAGGTAGATTTTAAACTCCAAAATTGTGCCCGGGCTGAGCCGTTAGGCTACTTTTTTTCTATTTCCAACTGCCAACGGATTGTCAACGTGCGCAACAATACACAAGGGCATCTGATCATACTACCCAGAGACCATGGGGAATT